GGTGAGACTGCCTGATTGTATGGTGAGAAACCATCGACACACAATCTAAGCCTACTATTATGTGCCTACACAACAAATTTAAGATAAAGAACATAAAAATTATTTTCATGCTTCTACATCTGTTGGATGACTCAATGAACTGATTTCATTTAATCAATTTTTATGTCATCTCATATGTGAAATAATATGCATAAAAGTAACTTATCTTTGAAAATATGGAAAAAGTGGCAAATAAAAGAGGCACTTGTATAAAACTTCTTTTTCCTAAAATTTTTTTATTCTATGGTTTGAATGTAAGAGCCTAGCTGAACCTGTACCGAGTCTTTATTGTATGATCCTTATAAAATAACTTGCATCCATTAATAGAACAAGGTATCTTCTTTAACTTTAAAACTAACTTGGAGATCGCCTTTTTCACTGTGTATAAGTCTTATGACACTAAACTTCCATGTGAATTTTTCTCTTTTAATATTTCTACAACCTGATTAAAGCATTACCTGGGCATGTTAAACTCTATATGAATTTTTAACATTTTGAGAGACACAGTTAACTCGGAATGAGATGTGCACCCTCTCATAATGATCTTTATATCACATTCATTAATTCATAAAAGTCTGAGTCTATTTGGTGGCTCGTACTCTACTTAACTCTAATAATGAGGAATTGCACCGCTGAAAGAATTTTCTACAATTCTGCTTGCGTCAAACTCAGTTGATGAATTATAGCTCTTTGATAGAGAATAGCTAATTAAATGATCAACTTTAGTGTAAATATTAGATCCAACCTCACCATCTGATGTCCAAAACTAATAATATGGTTGAAATCTTCAATGCTATAAATCATGCTTGACTTTATCAAGTGTTAAGGATACTTAATTTCCCTATCCTATTACAATTATGAGAATTGAAACTTAGCCTCAGATGGGTAAGTCAGAAGCTGAGAAGTTGTTTGCACAAAAAATTCAACACAACTCAATAATTCCGCAATTGAGTATTTTCCACCCGGATGAAGTCTATTATACACCCAAAACCTTAAAATGTCAATATCCCTTGATAACTTATTGATAAAAGTATTCATTAAACGTAGTCAACATCGTATGGCATTATTGCCTAAGAATATTAAATTGAGTCATATATTATTTAAAACTAAAGTTGCAAGTTTCATAAAGATGCAACATTGCATATTTATTGAACACAAAAAATAGATCCAATGTGTATCATGTACGAAAGACAATTACCTTAGATACGATTGATTCTTATAATTTTTTATATGAAACACATGAACTTAATATGCATGTATCCATATAAAATTGATAATTAAGCGACTTAATTGCATTCTACAAATGAAAATTAGTTGTCTCAAATTTAATAATTTAAATATCTTTCGGCTAAATAATTAGAACAACCTAATAGCTAAATGATACAACTACATATCTTATAATTCACGGTAATTTACACAACTAATTGCAACATACATATTTAAACCTAAGAAGAGATACAAATGTCAAATTCTAATTAGCACAGTGGTCGGCTTGATATCAAGACGTAGTCAACATCGTATGGCATTATTGCCTAAAAATATTTAATTGAGTCATGTATTATTTGAAACTAAAGTTGGAAGTTTCATAAAGATGCAACATTGCATATTTATCGAACA